TTGCTACTGCCTGTAATTCCTCTACAGCTGATGTCCCTAAAACGAATAACATATATATCATATTAAAATCATATTAAAATTATATTGGTCTGCAGCATTGCATTGATCATAAATAGTTTTTCAGTTCAATTCTTGTCATTCACATAATTTAATACCACCCTACATTCTTATGCTAGTGACGTAGTACTTCTATATAACAGCCTAAACCCCATTTTAGACTCCACTCTCATTAACCCATATTGTCAGATATTAAGCTCTTAAAGATATGATTTTATTTAGTCTGGAAGGTCTTAAATACATAAAACAGAAGTCTGGCAACGCCTAAATTGTTTCAATACATTTTTTAATACTATTTTCAAATACATTAAAAGGTAACAATTGATAGTTTAGAATATTTTTTAACATAATAGTTACGTTATTAAGTGTTCAAAATGTGCTTAATTTGTGAGTTGACAGCACTCTAATCGATGGTAGAATGCCTTTACCACATTTCTCCATGATTGTCTAGAAATTATTCGAGATTCATCGATAATTCATTGCCTTAGCTATGCAATACTTGCTGGTTAAGTTTTGTAAACTGAATTTTTCAAGTATCTCTAATAAAAATTATCTTTAGGATTGAGATCGGGTGAATGTGGAGGCCATTCAATTCTACCTTGTCTACCAATTTATCGTCCGGGAAATATCTCATCTAAATAACGCCGAACATTTACAATAACTATCTGACGTTAAATTTATTTCGATAAAAAATGGCCCAATTAAATAAGTACCTACTATAACTGACCATACATTTAATTTTTGTGGTCCTTGAGAATGGTTTTCACGCATTCAGTGTGAATTTCACACGAGTTCAGCTATTCATTACGAGTTCAACCATATGTTCACTTGATTTTATGTAGTCTGAAAGATCTTAAATACATAAAACAGTGCAAAATATGTAGATTTTAATAAATTTAAATATTTAAATTTAGAATGCTGTGATTTTGACATTTGTTCACCATTTAAATTATGAACTAAAATTGCCAGTAGTTGTGGTTCAAAAAGTTCTGCAATTTAAATTGCTTCTCTAAAATGCCGTTCTCTAAACCGTTTTCCTATTCATGACACAACGGTACAAAAAACTGTAAGGCGATTTGAGGAATTTGGAGAAGTAAAAGATAGATACCGATCAGGTTGACCGAAACAAGTTATCAATGACAACAAAACTTCAGATATAAGCAAAGTTTTGTTGAAGATCCACATACATCCCCAGGCAGGGTTGCACAAGTACATGATGTAGGTCATTCTTCAGTCTTACGTTTATTACGTAAAAATAAATTTAAATCATACAAAATTAACTTATTGCAAGAATTAAGTGAATATGACTTTGGTCGTAGTTTAGAGTTTACTGAGGTAATGATGGATAAAATTAAAAATTATTAAAATTTCGTTAACAGAATATGTTTTTCCGATGAAGCAACTTTTACACTGTGTGGAAGTGTAAATCGACACAATTTAAGGTACTGGTGTGACGTAAATTCACACTGAAGACTGAATGCGTGAAAACCATACTCAAAGACCACAAAAATTTAATGTATGATCAGATATAGTAGTTACTTATTCAATTGGGTCATTTTTTATCGAAAGAAATTTAACGTCAGATAGTTTGTGTAAATGTTCGGCGATATTTAGATGAGATATTTCCTGGACGATAAATTGGTAGACAAGGTAGAATTGAATGGCCTCCACGTTCACCCGATTTCAATCCTAAAGATTATTTTTATTAGGGATACTTGAAAAATTCAGTTTACAAAACTTAACCAGCAAGTCTTGCAGAGCTAAGGCAACGAATTATCAATGAATCTCGAATAATTTCTAGACAATCATGGAGAAATGTGGTAGACGCCTTCTACCATCGATTAGGGTGCTGTCAACTCACAAATTGAGCACATTTTAAACACTTAATAACGTAACTACTATGTTAAAAAAAGTTCTAAACTATCAATTGTTACGTTTTAGTGTATTTGAAAATAGTTAGTATTAAAAAATTTATTGAAACAATTTAGGCGTTGCCAGACTTCGGTTTTATGTATTTATGACCTTTCAGATTACATAAAGTCATAAATGTTACATATGATTGAACTCGAATTGAATAGGAGATTCCAATAATGACTGAATATACAGGGTGATGTATTTGAAAAACCAAAGTTACTAATAATATAAGAAAAACGGCAAATCTGGCAACATTGTAAATATCAAATATGGAATCTCCGTATCCCAAAATAGGTGTACCCCAAATTGTGTACAATTATGATTAGCATTTTACGAGATAATTAGCCGTTTCCAGACTTTTGGGCCACTCTGTATATGTATACCTTCAATACTATGTGTCACAGATTTCCCAAAGGTACTTGCTACTGCCTGTAAGTCCTCTACAGCTGATGTCCCTATAAAGAATAACATATGTACCATATTAAGTAAAATATATTAAAATCATATTGGCCTTCTTCTTCTTATGGTGCCCTATCCAATTAGTGGATGTTGGTGACAATTCAGGCATACTCCTCTCGATCTTGTGTGACTCTAAAGAGAGCATGGGCATCGAGGTTTGTCCAATCCCTTATGTTTTTAAGCCATGAGTATTTCTTTCTTCCGATGTCCCATTTTCCTTCTATCTTCCCTTCCATATTAAGCTTTAAGAATTGGCAGCAATTCTGTTCTCTGTCCATTCGATTTAATACTTCGACATTTGTTGTGTGATCTGTCCAGGGAATTTGAAGTAGTATTCTAAATACCCACATTTCAAAGGCTTCCAATCGGGTCATCACATTGGCTGCAGGTTTCTACACCATATAGCATCATATTGGTCAGCAGCATTGAATTAATTATAAATGATTTTTTTAGTTTAATTCTTCTCATTCATATAATTTAATACCAGATAGTATCCCCCTACTTTCTTATGCTACTGCCTAGTTCTTCTATATAACAGCCTAAATCCAGTTTTGGACTCCACTCCAATTAACCCGTTTTTTAGATATTCATGAAGGGTGTAACCTTCACAACCTTCAGATTTCGGTTAATAAAAGTGAGATTATTTAATTAAAAAAAAAGAAGCAATTTAACAACCTATCATATAAGTATATTGAAAATATAGTTGAAAAATCTGTTAAAGGTATAAATGTAGGAAATGGGATCCTTTTGCAGAACTTGGTGTAGAGCAGATCCATCTACTCTTCTCTAAGCCATTAGAGCCTAGTAAGACCCATCTAGATTTTTGAAGTATCTTCATAAAACCAGCATATAAACAATTAAAAATTTAGGCTCCAATTTCAATCACTAAGCTTAAGAAGAGGCTAGATGGAATCAACCCAGACAAATGCTCTATTAGCCAAAATAGATGAATGATTTCTAGAGTTTAGATGCATACAGTTATCTACCAAATTCATGACCGAAATTTCCCACAAATATACAACAATTAGTTTTAAAAATATATACATACCTTCAATTCTATGTGTCAATGATTACGAGGTACTCGCAAATGTTTGTAGCTTCTCAACAGGTGTGCCTACAAAATTACAAAAATGAGTTCTCATTATTCACGGGAAAGAAAGAACATACTTTGAACTGGAATGTTTAATCTCACAAGCCGAACAGATGGATTGCGTTTTTTTTTTCAACCTACTTTTTAGCATTGTTCTGAGCTATTTTCTTGTGGCATTTTAAATTAATTACTATTAAACTGGGAATAAGCCATAATTAAAGATAAAAATACGTTTATTGACGTTTTAATTTCCACTTCGGAAATCGTTCTCAAAATACAAAACGATGTTTCTTTGTTTCGTTTAAATCAAATATTCTCCTGTATAAAACCCTTTATATATTTTTATTTCCTAAAAATACTATATACGTATTGTTGTCTTCAAGCGCTCTGACACCAGGCTAACATCTGTTAGCCTTTAGAGATATTAAATTTAATGTTTTGATTTTGAACTATCCCTTGGCCAAAGTTTATTTTTTTATTGCTCCACTTAACGAGAGCTCGGATAGACACGTTGGCGTCAGCTTTCTTTTCGAAAGTCAAACTAATACTATTATGTAATAACTAATAATAATTACAAATCAATAGTAATTACCTGTTATTATTCTTAGGAAATCTAAATAAACATTCCTTTTCCTGTCACAGATGAACATCCGCGAAACGCACAACAATAACCAGAACACATTTTAAATATAAATTAAACTTTTAACTATAAACTTATATATTTAACTTATATATTTTAACTATAACTATAAACTTTTAACTACTAAGTAAATTAGATAAATGGTCAATTGCACTTGTATAGTCGAGTATTTACCACAGGCGCCTACGTACTATCGTAAAACAACCAGAGTTAAGAATAAGCACGTGTTTTTGACAGTAAAGCAACCAGGTTCGGGCATGCGTATACAAAAACGGTACACGGATTTCGGTGGTGGTGTCGCTTCTCTGTGTTCGTAGTTCTCTGGCAATATACTGTACCCATACTAGGATGAGAGGGCGCCTCTAAACTAGGATGCGAAGGGCTTCCGTTCTAGGTTTGGTTAGGATGAACTAGGATGAAAGTGTTCTTCGTCCTAGTACCCAAATTAGACGAGAAACTGCAAAAATACAGTATGCAAAGAAACAAAAGGTACAAAAATAGAAGAATAGAAAGTACAAGAATAAAAATCTTTCACTTTTTTGAGGGGTCCCGTAGACAGGAGGAACCGTTTTTTTTTTTAGTTTTTTAAATCTTTTGTAACTTAATAAATGTATTCTTTGTTGTGATTGATTCCTAATGTCAAGTACGTAGTCAGAATAGTATAATTTTAATCCTTTTAGCTGTTTAAATGTTTGTGTAGTAATTTTTTTATTTTCTAATCACTAATTTTTTATTGTTGTTAATAAATTAAAACATTTGATTATATTCATACGAAAGCTTTTTCATTCCGTTTCATTTTCGTAGATGATTATTTTTACTGGACATTTTTTCTTCTTTCAGTTCTGCTCAGCGAAACGATGAAAAACGATGATATTCTGTTTAAAACTTTAAAAATAACTGACTTTGGTCTAGCTAGGGAAGTTTACAAAACAACCAGAATGTCACAAGCTGGAACGTATGCTTGGATGGCACCAGAAGTTATCAAACACTCAACATTTTCAAAAGCAAGTGATGTGTGGAGTTACGGAGTACTTCTGTGGGAGCTTCTAACTGGCGAAACACCTTACAAAGGTATAGATACGCTAGCTGTTGCGTACGGAGTTGCTGTAAATAAGTTGACACTGCCTATCCCCAGTACATGTCCACAGCCTTGGAGAGAACTTATGGAGAGTAAGTATAAGTTATTATAATCTCAATAACAGAATTATATAAACTAAATTTAGATATAAACTTATATCTTATAAAGATATAAGTTTATTATATAATCCTAAATTAGGAAAAAAACACTATTTGACATTTACTATGCATATAGAACATATATAACTGTTAAAATAGTGCATACTACTATAATTTTACAGCATATTGTGTATATATATATATATATATATATATATATATATATATATATATATATATATATATATTATGAATTATTATCTTTCACTACAGTAGTTTTGACATGGAGTCTTTTTCAAGTGATCTATTTTTGGTATGCGCTTACATTTTATAGTATTTAACTCAATAACTTAAGGAGGGGAGAGGTCTTGTTTCTCCTCCTCAACTTATTCAGTTAAAGACTATAAAGTGTAAACGCATACCAAAAATAGATCACTTGAGAAAGGCTTTCTGTCGAAACAGTTGTAGTTATAATAATTTATAATAAATGTTGTGGAAGTGTTAAAATCAAAAGTTTTCAGTGCTTTGTTATTAGATTAAATGAATTTTGATTAAGTAAAAGTCGAATCCATCGCTTTTAACGGTCGAATCCATCACTTCCGTACAATTAAACCTAAAGCTAGGATTAATACTATTATAAAAATTAATATTAAACTCACCAAGCTTCCTGGTTGAACAGCGTCGAATATTAATAAAGCTTTCGACATTTTCTCCGATGTCTTCCCCGAGTCCCCTGACACTACTATACTGATCACTAACCACTGCACTACTGCTACTGGACACTGAAAACAGCGGATGGTTCATTTATACCGTCCATGGTGACGTGGTTTGGTCTTTATGAGAGGTCTATATGGAAGGTAACCAGATGCCGTCATCTCTTTTATTGAGGCAATTTTGCCTTTTTTCAATTTCTATGGCTTCTCGGACAATTCTTGATTTATAGAAGTGGATAGGGGCTATGGTTCTGGAGTTTTCAAAATCAATTTTGTTATCTGTATGGGGATGGTGTTGACCTAAAGCTGAAATTGAATCGGAATTATGAACAAAGGTGGAATGTTCATAAATCCTATTTTCGATTATGCGATCTGTTTGGCTTACATAAGATCGGGGGCAGTCTGCACAAGGAATTTCAGAAACTCCCTCTTGTTAATTTGGAATGTTGTCTGATTGATCGGACAAAAGGTGGAAGTTATTGTTGGGGGGTAAATATTGTTTTTATTCCCCTTGATTTAAGAATTTTGTCAGTGATACTTTTGATTTAAGAAACAAAAGCTTTTATACGATGAGTTTCTGCATCTTTGGGTTGAGTTTGAGTGGGAGATTGATGTCTGTGGATGCTCCTATTGATTGATTTTCGTGGTAAAAGTTTTGGATGAGGGCTTGTTTTAACTAGAGAGCTCAATGGGTCTACTTGCAACATCGCAAATGTGTATAGATATCGAGACAAGGGTATTAATGACTGAATTAATTTGTAGGTAGATGGAGGTAGATTAATTAAAGGTAGATGATGAGAGTTGCCATGCAAGTAATGATTGCTTTGGCTGTGTTTTCGATAAGCAAAGTGATGAAATCCTGGGGATTGATTTTTCTTTGATATTGTGAAACGGTAGGGATGAAACAGTTTCCACCTCTAAAAAAGACACTAAAGTATCTCTGTCGTGGGACCAAATGACGAATGTATCGTCAAAAAATCGTAGCCAACATTTGGGTTTGAGCATTGATATCTTTAGTGCTCGGGAGCCCTAAAGTCATGCTCGTTATTAAACAATTTAATAACAAAAATGTGTTCCTTGGCATAACTTTAGAAATAAATACATTATTATATAGTGAATCTTTTGACCAAGACAAGGATAAATCCGGAGCATTTACTAAACCCATTGTCAAAACAGTAGAAAAGAATGCATGTATTTCCCGGTTAGAAGTGGGTTTCCAAGCTTTCATTCTAGGATGTCGTATGTGCATCGTATTTTTATTTATAACTAGAGACGCGTAATTATTTGTTTGCTCAACAATAATGTCCACAATTTGGTCAGTAATAAAAAGTATGTAAAAATCTATAGGCGACTTTACGGTTTCTGAAATATTACATTCTTCTGTTTTATTATATTTTACAAATAATAATTCGTTTGAGGATTTAATGTTATTCCAAATATTCTCACCTTCAAGTTCAATATTTAATGCCTCACTATTACCATTCATCTGTTTCTTTTCCATAATATTCACTTTCCACAGAAACACTTTCTACTTCACTGTCATCGTCGCTATATAATCAGAGTCTGATGCTTCATAAGGTTTGTCACGTATTGAATCATCCGAATCAAAATCTGATTCTGAGTCACTATGTATGGCGATAGCATTTTGCACATTTTTTTGTTTTGCTCGTAAAAATTGTACTTTCGCTTGTCTAAGAAATACTGTATGTATATTACATTATTTACATTCTCAAGCTTAGTCCCGTCATCGGATCATCCGATTGTTCGAAACTGTTTCTATTGGTCAAAATATTTATTTTAATTCGTGTCAAGCAGTTTTGTACAACCTCGTACATATTTTAACAATAATTCGACTAGAGTACTCTAGTACAGTTCCCGTCATATAAAACTGGTACACTTTTTTCCCAATGTAAACCTGTGTTCAGAATTGACACAATGGTTCGTGAATCAATTCGCTGTTGCCACCAAAGATAGCGGAATTGCACTAAATCTAAATAAAAAATAACGTTCAAAAATGTTTAAAGTTTTTGTATAGGTAATATTATTATCATTAACAACAATAAATCGTATCTAATAAATTTAATAACGAGAGAGGGTTGAATTAATGCCCAAAATGATTAAAAGATCTTTAAACGTAGGGTATTGGCACAGGGAACATTGGAATGCATTTTGAACGCACATTGAATGCACTGTAATTTTATAAGGTGTCTGTCGCACAGCCCTCCTTTTAGCTGATTCGATACAATATTTTCGTTGAACTGGCAACGTTGTCCTAGAAATTAGAATGACATATGTGACAAGATCAATTTCACAACTTGAAAAACACGATTTTCTGTTATGAGTTGTACCAGTTTTTTACGACGCAAACGGTACATCGCCCTTGCGATGATGCATGCATATAACGCATTTCTTCTCGTCTCGTTTCCAAGAATATCTGCAACTTATGTTTGTCCTGTCTTTTATTTCGTAAGTTACGGGAGTATATAGATAGAATTCTTTTTTTTTATAATAACTATGAGTAATATTTTTCCCATTCTTTCATTTGTATTGGTTCTAGCTTTAACCTTTTATGGGTATTATGTCTGAAGTTCGTCAACATTTTCTATGCCTCATATTCTTGATCTCATCAAATAGTGGTATGATTCACAGGTGGCTCTTCTGCATACTCTCGTTTCTTCGACCTTGATCATTGACGGCAGTATAACAATGACATAGTTTATTGATTATTTATTGGGAACTGGATTTTTGTATATTGATTTAAACACTACATATTCTTAATGAATACTATAATCATCAGTCTCATTCCATTCTCATTCATGGCATTTTCTCCATATGGGCCTACTATTTTGTTGCTATCCTTTCTTCCAGTTGTTGCATTAAGGTCTGTTATCAGTTAAAATTTTTCCGACTGTTTACGTTTTCTGGTGTTTCTTGTAGAATTTTTGCGAATTGATTATTTTCTTCTCGTTTACTGTTATCGGTTAAGGCATATACTCCTATTATGACTATATTTCCTTCTTGTATTTTGTTATCTACATTGCTTATTTTTTCATTTATCCGATATAATCCAATCCTTGACATTTTTAGTCTGTTTCTCTTTGGTCTTTATTTACTCCGCTGTAGGAATGAACATATTACTATGAACATACTAACCGACCTGCCGAACTTCATATCGCCTTAAAATTAAATGGTGTATCATAATAAGTTCAATAAGCTGCTCCTTCGATTCTGTTACATAACAGAAATCTCCGGGTAATGAAATAAATCCGGTCGAGGTGTTAATAGCAACTTTACCATTTCCAATATCTAACAACTGCTTCGAAAACACAATTGCACTTTGATCTTGTTGCCAAATCACTAGCATGTTATTTGTTAAGTGTGGTGTCTTGGGATGCTGCCACAAATATGATGTTAGGCATGCGTTTAGTGCGTCCGCAGCAGTAAATTGGGGATTAATGATTATATAAGAAACAGTCTGAAAATAGCATCATGGCTCCACCAAAAATGTTTTTGATTGTCACGAATATGTTAAAAGTTATGTCCAGTCCCTGCAATGACTTCTTGTAGGCCAATTCATCCCAAACAATTAATTTGCATGCCTATAAAATCTTCGCCATTGCTCTATTTTTGGGTTGTGTTGCAATCTGGTGTTTCATTAATTTGTATGTTTAATGGTAATTTCGAAGAAACATTTGCAATTCGTTCGTCTTCTGATAAAGTTGCAGATATTTCAGATGAAGCCAACGCTAGGGCTACTGCGATCTGATCCTTGCCAATAACAACAAACAAAATTAGTAATGTTTTTCTGTCTGTCCCCAGCACTAAGGAAGTAAATTCCACCAGCTCCAATGTTCACAGCTTCTGTCAAAGTATCGTACGCGACCGTTTGTTGCTGATTCAATTTTAGATTGAATTCAGTTGTAGAAATTTTTATAAACTATTTCGACAAAGGCTTCTCTTTATATTGTTCATAATATATAAACAAACTGATATTCTCTTTATATTGTTCTGAACCTATTTTCTTATGGCATTTTAGTAAGTAGAAGTAATTACTATTTAAAAGGGAATAAGCCACAATTAAAGGTTAAAGTACCTTTATTGACGTTTCAATTTCCACTCCGGAAATCGTTCTCAAAATACAAACATTAGTAAATTAAACAATTTGCTAATGTATAATTTACTAATGTTTGTATTTTGAGAACGATTTCCGGAGTGGAAATTGAAACGTCAATAAAGGTACTTTAACCTTTAATTGTGGCTTATTCCCATTTAAATAGTAAT